AGAGTGTTACAGAATCTCTCTCAGAATATCTCTCGCAGGTTTTTTGCCTCAACCTCAGCCTCTGTCTTATAGCTGAGGCAGCCACGCGCATCGCGCGCCTCTTACCACCAGCCGACAAACGGGCACGCAAGCCAAGGCGCCCACGTGCCTCGCCATCATGTCCGGCACACCTTTTGATGCATTTGGCACGCCTTTTGATGGCACGCCTTTTGATGGCACGCCTTTTGACAAAATTGGGCACACCTTTTGAAGGTGCCACTTTTACAAGGGTCCGACAAGACTCTATAAACTGTCCCGACATTTGATACCGGTTAGCTTTTTCAAGGGTCCGATAAGACTCTGTAAACTGTCCCGACATTGATTCCGGTTAGCTCCTTCATGGGTCCGACAAGACTCTGTAAACTGTCCCGACATTGATTCCGGTTAGCTCCTTCAAGGGTCCAGCAAGACTCCGTAAACTGTCACCACATTGTCTGCTACAACGGTCCGACATGACCCCATAAACTGTCTTCTACATCGGTCTGACACCACCATACAGTGTCCTCTACATGGTTATGACACCCCCATATAGTGTCCTCTACAACGTTATGACACCACCATCCAGTGTCTTCACCAATGGTCTGACACGACCATACAGTGTCTCTTATCCTCTTTTATTTTTATGTATTTTCTTGTTTTGTTCCTCTCTTCAAACTCAAGTTGGTTAGTTTCTATCCTCCTTGAGTTTGCGGGGGGCTGTTAGAATTTACCATAAACCTACCACCACTACCACCTCACCTACTCCACTAAACCTAACCCACTCCACCTACCACCTCCACTACCACACACACTCACCTACTTCACCTACTTTCCTACACCTACCACACACACTCACCTACTCCCAAATCCTCTCCTATATAATAGGAAGCCTTGTAATATCAACAGCACAATAATCAGAAATCAATCAATAATACAATCATTTCTCTTTATACATTAAATTTCTACAAATGCCTTCTTTTATGGAGATTTGGAAGAAGAAGTGTACATGGACATTTCCTCAGGCTTTGAGGATGTTAAAACTAAAGGAGAAGTATGCCGACTATGTAAGTCACTTTATCGACTCAAACAGTCACCTAAGGCTTGGTTTGAGAGATTTACTCAGGCCATGCTGCGATATGGTTTCAAACAGAGTCAAGCTGATCTTACTTTGTTCGTGAAACACTCTTCACATGGTAAGACGATAGCTCTTATTGTTTATGTGGATGATATTGTACTCATAGGGGATGATGTTGAGGAGGTTCCTCGGTTAAAGGAGTATTTGGCTAATGAGTTTGAAATCAAAGACTTAGGTAGCTTGAAATACTTTCTAGGTATTGAAGTTGCTCGGTCCAAAGAGGGCATCTTCATATGTCAAAGAAAGTATATGTTGGATTTGCTAAAAGAAACTGGGATGCTTGGAAGTAAAGCCTGTGAATGTGATACACCACTAGAGCCTGGGCTGAAGCTTAGTGAGGATCAAGCAGGCGAGCTTGTAGACAGAGAGAGATATTAGCAGCTAGTGGGTAAGCTTATCTACTTATCCCATTCGCGTCCTGACATTGCTATCGCAGTGACTATGGTTAGTCAGTTTATGCATGCTCCACGTGCAAGTCACTTAGAGGCAGTTATGCGAATTCTAAGGTACTTGAAGTCTTTTCCAGGAAAGGGTCTCTATTTCTCTAAACATAGTCATCTTAGTGCAGAGGCATATACAAATGCTGATTGGGCTGGGTCCGTCATTGATAGAAGGTCAACCTCTGGCTATTGTACCTTTGTTGGAGGAAATCTAGTTACTTGGAGAAGCAAGAAACAGAATGTAGTTGCAAGGTATAGTGCAGAGGCTGAATTTAGGGCTATGGCTCAGGTGTGTGTGAGCTATTATGGATCAAACTACTTTTGAGGGATTTGGGTATTTATCAGGCAGATTCTATGCGGTTATACTGTGACAATACGACAACCATCAATATAGCTCACAATCCAGTTCAACATGACAGGACCAAGCATGTGGAGATTGATAGGCATTTTATCAAGGAAAAGCTCACTAGTGGTACTATATGTACGCCATTCTGGAGACCAACTGGTTAATGTTCTCACCAAAGGATTAGGGAATAAATCATTCCGTGACATTCTTAACAAACTGGGCATGAGAGAAATCTTTGCATCAGCTTGAGTGGGAGTGTTAGAATGTGTTAGAATATTTCCTATTTTATTCTGATGAATATTTAGTATATTCTTATTTTATGCCTTATGGCCCTTTTGTAATTATGATGATGATTTAACATAAAAGGAGATGAGATACCACTCATACCTTCAACTTTTCCTTGCTAAAAAATAACATTATGTTCCTTCAATTTCTAGGAATTTAGTTTTGTTATCCAAATTAGATAGTGTTGGATATTCAATTTTATTTAGTTATGGAAAACTCAATTTAATGTTTAATTCAATAATGATTAGTTTTGGTAATTTATGTGATGATTTATATAAAATTGCCTTAAATCATGAGTTTGTACAATCGTTAGTAACTCTGCATTCGAATATTGATTTAAAACGTGGTCTAATTAATGAAAAATCCTCAATCTTGTGGCATAGACGGTTGGGGCATATTTCTAGAAATAGAATTGAAAAATTGGTAAAGAATGGGATTTTGAAAAACCTAGACTTCACTGATTTTGAGATATGTGTGGATTGCATTAAAGGAAAGCAAACCAAACACACCAAGAAAGGTGCCACAAGAAGTAATGAGCTTCTTGAGATAATTCATACAGATATTTGCGGGCCACTCAACATCACATGTCTTAGTGGTGAAAAATATTTCATCACATTTATAGATGATTTCTCACGTTATGGATATATGTATCTAATTCATGAAAAGTCTCAAACTGTTGACATCCTTAAGGTGTACATAACTGAAGTCGAGAGACAATTAGATAGAAAGGTTAAAATAGTGAGATCAGACAGGGGTGGTGAATATTATGGTAAATATAATGAGTCAGGCCAAAATCCTGGCCCGTTTGCCAAATTCTTAGAAAAGAAAGGCATTTATGTTTAATATACAATGCCTGGTACGCCACAACAGAATAGAGTTGCTGAAAGGCGTAATCGTACACTTAAAGATATGGTTAGGAGTATGTTAAGTTACTCAATTGTACCCATTTCAATGTGGGGTGAAGCTTTAAAAACTGCAATGTATATCTTAAATAGGGTTCCTAGTAAGGCGGTCCCAACAACTCCTTTTGAGTTGTGGACTGGTAGGAAACCTAGTTTGAGACACTTACATATTTGGGGTTGTCCAGCAGAGGCAAGAATCTTCAACCCATACTTCTCCCTTGTTTTCCTGTTGATCCAGACTCAGCATACCTAATCCTTATTTCTTCCTCATGGAATTCTATGAGCAGTTCAGTTGTACGCAACTCTGAATATCTTGCAGTTCTTGAAAGAATGCCATACTTTACCAAAATTGCAAAACTAATGGTAAAACTAAAGTAAAAAGAAACAAAAAGCAGCATACAGTATGAGACCAGTATTAGAGGGTGACAATGGTGCAGCCTCTGCGACAAATCTATCATTCACTTGCTTGGACGAACAGTTGGATTGATCTTGGCCATGAAAGTGTTTCATGATTGAACATGTTCCCTGTCAAAAGTATTCAAGAGCGAGTATCGAATATAATAATAAAAGAAGAAGAAATTATGTTTCAATATTTAAATGAGTGGGAAACCAAATAATTTGAAGGCACTACATGTACTGCAATATGCTCATCTCATGAAAGTTTTCGTTAGAAGAATGGTCTTAGATCGTGGTATCAGCTAGCACAACAGTTTTGAGAGTATCGACCAAATATGATTGGAGGAATATATTACAGGACAATTTTGGAATCAATTGGATAAACTAATGTAAGAATTATCTATTGGAGAGAAGAAAATTATAGTTGAAGATTTCAACAGTCCAAAGCTCCATTTCAACTACTAGACAGAAATCGAGTATGATAGAGGGTGTTTAAGCATGAGACTTGGTTGTATTGTTGTTGTTGTGTCTCGCTGCATATACGATACGTTATATAGGCCGCAGGAGTATTGGAGCCCAAGCAAACTGTTGGACAGGTGGCTCGTTCTCCTCAACTCTGCCAGAAGTGATATAAGCCCTTCTGCCGTCTGTGGCTTGACGGCAGGTGGAGAGCAACGTTTCATGGCAGGCAGAAAGTAACGTTTCGTATATACATCGGATGACATGAACGTAAGGTCATTATTGCCTCTTCTCCAAGCCTGGTCGAGATGGAGTTGTCTTAGCAAGAAGACAAACATCTCGACGATCCCATGACCTCAGCCGCCAGTCCAGTATCCTCTGATGATCCCGAGCAGTAGTGCCTGGGTCCTGCTCCCAACCTAGGCATCCAAGTAGATAAATGGGCCAGGGCCCACCTTAATGTTTAAGAAAGCCAGGGGCTCGCCTCTGGGAGACCAAGTAGGAGATTGGGCCGCAGGCCTATCTTAATGTTTAGGAGAGCCATTGTTTATCAATCCAAGTCCAAGTGAGCCGGGAGCTGATTGTATTGTTGTTTGGCCTTGGAGCAAGGTATGAAGGACCATGGGCCCTGGGGCCATGGTGCTGCCTGTTGCAGGGCTCTTCATATCTAGATATATTTGGGTTTATATGTATGCTCCCACTTAGGCTAAGCATATAGTCTTGGCTGCCTTGGCACATGACGCCCGTAGGGCTCGCCATGTAGCAAACATACGACATGCCCGACGTGGTGCCTTATTGGTCTGCCACGTGGGTGGGGTTTGGTGATGTGGCACCTGTAGGGCTTACCACATATTGAGCTTGATACAAGTACCCACAGTTGCCAATAAAAAAAAAGAGTTCATGATACGGATGTGGTGTGGTGTGCGACACATCTATTGTAAATCAAGTATTTGCAAGGCTTGTTAGACAAAAGAAGAGAGAATCATATTCGTGTATTACAAAGCTTTATGCTTTGGCACATGTCCCCCTAATGCATGGATATTTTAATATGAGTGGAGAATTCACATTGGATACAATCTCTTTCACATTAAGAAATCTTAACAGGGTACCTAATCACGATAACAAGTGAAATTCCATTGTGTTTGGGTGGTTTTGACGAAGGATGGTCAACCCCATGGTTTCTATATGAAGCT